CTATCTATACTTGAGTCAAGTTCTTTATAAATTTAAAATGACTAAAGTACCTAAAACTAAAAAACACAAAAAACCATTGTCATCACCAAGTTCTCTAAACCTATCATTTACTAATATTCGTGGTCTTCGAAGTAACTTTTCTTCTGTTGAGTCTTATCTCTTGCAAAGTTCACCAGACCTACTTGCTCTTTGTGAGACTAATTTGAGTTCAGCTGTCCCATCTTGTGATCTTAGTGTTGATGGTTATCTTCCTTTAATTCGTAAAGACTCCAATAATCACATGCTTGGCCTGGGCATCTACATTCGTAAGAACTCACCCATTTGTCGTGAAACTAGGTTTGAATCTACAGACTATTCATTTATGTGCTTTCGTTTAGCACAACTTCACTCTATCGCCTTTCTCTTTGTTCTATATCGCTCTCCTTCATCCCAAGATTGCACTATTCTTGATGTTATTTCTGATCAAATTGACCAAGCCCTCTCTCTTTATCCATCGGCCAATATTGTCGTTGTTGGTGACTTTAATGCCCATCACACCGATTGGCTTGGCTCTAGTGTCAGTGACTCTGCTGGCGTTAAGGCCCTCAACTTTTGCCTTTCTCAATCTCTAACTCAAATAGTCAACTTTCCAACTCGTTTTCCAGACAACCCTAATCATTTACCTTCTCTACTCGACTTATGTCTTGTTTTGGATCCTAGTCAGTGCTCAATTTCTCCACATTCACCCTTAGGTACTTCTGATCACGGTTTGATCTCTCTAAAACTATTATCAAATTCTTCTACTTCATCAGAATCCCCCTATCATCGTACCACATACAACTACCTTAAAGCTGACTGGGACTCTTTCCGTGATTTTCTTCGTGATGGCCCTTGGGTAGAAATCTTTCGTCTTCCTGCTGACAAATGTGCTTCTTACATAACTTCGTGGATTCAGGCTGGCATGGAATCCTTTATTCCCTCTCGACGATTCCAGGTCAAGCCTCACTCTTCTCCTTGGTTTTCCTCACATTGCGCAGTAGCAATTTCTAATCGAAACCGTTACTTCCATATCTATCAGCAAAACAATTCTCCAGAAAACAGACATCTGTTCACTATCGCCAGAAACCATTGTAAAAAGGTTTTGTCTGACGCCAAAGCTCGCTATTCCCAGGTCATTAAATCTCGTATCTCATCACAAAAATTAGGCTCTCGAGACTTCTGGAGAATCTTTAACAGTATCAATAATAAGGGCAAATCTGTTATTCCTTCTCTCTTGTATGGTTCAGTTTTTGTCACCTCACCTAAAGACAAAGCTGAATTGTTTGCTAAGAACTTTTCATCAATATCATCTCTTGATTCCACTAGTTGCGTTTTACCTGACATAACCGTCAAACAGGTTGATCCCTTGCTTGACATTCGCATCACTTCAGCTTCTGTATCTAAAGTAATTTCCTGCTTAGACTCTTCAACAGCTTGTGGTCCTGACAACATTCCTGTTGTAGTCTTTCAGAGGTGTTCTCCGGAGCTTTCATCCATACTTTCTAAACTATTTAACAAGTGCTTATCAGAGTCTTGTTTTCCATCATGCTGGAAAGCAGCATCTGTTATCCCTATTTTCAAAAATTCCGGGGAGCGATCTGATTCATCTAACTACCGTCCCATTAGTCTTCTTCCTGTCATAAGCAAGGTTTTTGAATCTTTAATCAACAAACACTTAATCTCTCATCTTGAATCAAATAACTTACTTTCTGATCATCAATATGGATTTCGGTCTTCTCGTTCTACAGCTGATGTGCTAACAGTAATAACCGATAGGTTTTACCGTGCATTAGATAGAGGTGGAGAGGTTAAGGCTATCGCACTTGACATTTCTAAAGCTTTTGATAAAGTTTGGCATGCTGGTCTTCTCCATAAGCTTTCTTCTTATGGTGTAGCTGGTAACGTCTTTAAGATTATTGAGTCCTTTCTTTCCAATCGTAGTATAAAAGTTGTCCTCGATGGACAACACTCTTCTTCACATCCTGTTACTTCAGGGGTTCCTCAAGGTTCAATCCTTGGCCCTATACTCTTTTTAATTTACATTAACGATCTTCCAGATATTCTCACATCTAAGGTGGCATTATTCGCTGACGACACTACCATTTACTCTTGTCATGATAAGAAGCCTACACTCTCTGATTGCTTGGAGGGGGTATCTGAGCTTGAAAAGGATCTCACTTCTGCTACAGCATGGGGCTCACAGTGGCTGGTGAACTTTAATTCAGATAAAACTCAATTTTATTCGGCCAATCGTTATCGTAATAATTTAGATCTTCCTATATTTATGAATGGTAATGTACTAGATGAGTCATCTACCATTCATCTTCTAGGATTAACTCTTACTTCTGATCTTTCTTTTAAACCGTATATCAAATCCATTGCAAAATTAGCATCTGCTAAGGTTGCATCTCTTTATCGAGCTCGACACTTTCTTACTCCAGATTCTATTCTCTATCTCTATAAATCTCAAATCCGTCCCTGTATGGAATACTGTTGCCACATCTGGGGCGGATCTTCTAATGATGCTCTTTCTCTTTTAGACAAGGTGCAAAAACGAATTGTAAACATAGTTGGACCTGCTCTGGCAGCCAATCTCCAACCTTTGTCACATCGTCGTAATGTTGCTTCTCTTTCTCTTTTCTACAAATACTATAATGGGCACTGCTCTAAAGAGCTAGCGTCTCTTGTGCCATCTACTAAAATTCATTCTCGTGTTACTCGCCATTCAATTAAGTCTCATCCTTTTTCTGTGACTGTTCCTAAGTGCTTCAAAAACTCTTATTCTTCTAGTTTTTTTCCTCGAACATCAGTTCTTTGGAATTCGCTTCCTTCATCTTGCTTTCCTGATTCATATAATTTGCAATCTTTTAAGTCATCAGTCAATCGTTATCTTGCTCTACAGATTTAGTCTTTTCTCTTCCAGTAACTTCCAACTCTTATAGTGGTTGCTTGCAGCCTTGTTGGAAGTGAAGATGTTAAAAAAAAAAAAAAAAAAAAAAAAAAAATTATTAGAATTAATAATAATAATAATAAATTATTTTTTATTAGTTTTTTTTTCAAACAGTATAAAAATGCTAATAAAAGTCAGCAATTTTTTTTGCTCTAACGTTTTTAAGCCTTATTTTAAACATTTTGATAAACAAAGATAAAAACCAGGCTGTTTTGTTAAAATGAAGAAAAAACTTTTCACTTTAACGACCTTTTAAATATTTTCCACGTTGAGATATAAAGTAATTTAAATTCAAAAATGTTTTACATTGAAAGAAAATCTCCGTGCGGAAGAGCAAATTATCTATTCCTCTATCTATTCAGAATAATAAAATTTGTGTGACGTTCTTTATGATGAAAACATTACTTTTAAGAATTGCTAAAAAAAATGCTAAGCTAGAAAAAAAGTAATTCAACACCAAAAAAAAAAATACATTGCGAAAAGATTTTTTTTAAGAAAAAACTAATAGCGGAAGTGCGAAAAGCAATCACGATCGCGATACGCTTAATTTGAGCTCTGCAAGACTTTTTTATAAGTTCTAAACTATTTAAAACTATTACTTAATAACTTTTTTTTAACGACGCCTTTAACCGAATTCTATTATACTGTTTTTGCAAAAGTAATTAAAAAAACTTGATTAAAACTAATTAAAAAAACTTGATTAAAACTTAACCATTTAATCATGACTTTTTTTTACTTGAAAATCGAAGTAGATATTCTAAAGTTGTTGTGACGTACTAACGTGATTTTTAACGAGTAACAATTGAGTTTAAATGGTAAAAAAATAAAATCAAAATGGAGTTGTTTTTAAGTGATTTCGGCAATTGCTTTTTGTTAGCATGCATTTATTATTACAATTTAGTTAAAAAGAAAAAAAACTTGCAAATTTTTTTTTAATGCTCTTTCATATGAGATCAAATGTTAGGAGCACTTAGGGATCCCTTTAAAAAATACACTTTTAATACACTTTTTTTTTGCGATTGGTTTAAATTGTAGAATAAATTTAAACAGACAAAGTAAATTCAATAAATTACCAAAATAAAACAGGTTAAACTTGTGAGACTAGTTAAACTACTTGTGAGATTAGTAAAATTAGAAATTTGTTTAAAGGTACCCCAACCATGGGGAACCTTGATACAAACTACAAGCATCATTAAAAAAGTAAATAAAGAGTATAAAACAGAGAATAGGTGGATTTTTATTTGAAATATAAACAAATTAATATTTATAACCCAAATAATGCATTCAACGGTCCAAATCGCATTTCAGAAGACCAGATAATATACTATTTTAAGTATCAATCTTAAGCATCAATAAATAATGGCTTTGTATCGAAATGGGATCATCTTGTATTATATTTACATAATTTTTTTTTTTTAATTGACGTTAAATATTAAAAGAAATGATTTTTAGAATTGTTTATGACATAATTGAGTATTACTCTACAGTTTTAGGACCCTCCATAAATGCTGTATCAAGTTTCCCCATACTTGCTAATAGAAAACAACCACTTTATTTTTAGTATCAACTTGTTTTTTCAATGATTTTATTTCATGAAGTAAAAAGCTTATGGATTGTAGTTTACAAAATCATGTTATTTACTGATAGACACATTGAATAAAATACCTTAAAACTTTGAGCTTTAAAAATTAAGAAATTACTTTGTCATCAAAAAAATACAAATTTTGACCAATCGCAGGACTAATGATGTCAAATGATGTAATTTTTTTTTAAAACATAGCTCTAGTAATAACTGTTTCACTATATGAAAGTATTTGTCTCAACTCTTAAGATGCCTCCACAATTACAATGTTTCATGCGCCCCATGTTTCATGGTGCCCCATTCTCCCCTATATTTAACTATTAATACAAACTTATTTGGTTAAAATTTTAAAATGTATAAAGAAAAAATTTAATCAAAAGTGGTGTGAGTATTTTCGTAGAAGAGTAATAAGAGATGAAAGAAGTAGATAAAAAAAAAGTAAATTGTTACGGAGCAATTCCAGCACACACTCCCAAAGGAACTCTGTAAGAATATGTATCCATGTCTTTAGCTATATTAGCTGATGTTTCACCTTGCATTAGTGAAGCAATAGAACATGCATGTTCGACAACCTCTAAAAATAATAAAAGCAAAAATTTAATGCAGTAGTGGAGCAGAGCACACAGTTAGGTAGACTAAATTTATTTTTGCTTTGTAAACAAAATTAAATATAATTCTTTATAAAAGTTTATAAGCAAAAAGTTCTATCTGTCATCTACCTGGTAGTAACAGACTAAACATTTTTCTCTGTGCAAAAGGCTTACATGTTTCTAAGGTTTCTCTTTCAAAGATTAAAGGGCTTAAAAAGGGTTGTATAAATGATTTAAAAAAAATTCTCCTCCTTAATTGCAGTGAACAACATATTTATCCAAAAAAAATTAAAACAAAATTTAACTTTTATATATTATCTGGGAATTTTTGATTTTCAATACAACCTTTTAGCAAGCTTAATTATTAAATAGTAACCAACACACACTCCCACATACATCAAATAGAATATTATTAAACTACGATATTTTTTATATATGAATAACATCTAGTTTGGTTAATTAGGCCAGGAAAGAAAACAACATTTTATTAAAATACTTATTTTAAGACAAGATTGATAAAAAGTTTAAAAAATCTGTAGATAGAATTTGTTGACTTTAAAAAAGCTTTTGACAGAGTAACAAGAAAGGTAGAGTGTAAAGTATGAAGTATGAAGGGAGTTGCAGCTCTCTTTTGTTTGTACAGGTTCAGAAGAAATGTAGTGGTATACAAGGTACTCACAATATTGTTGATTTTGTGTTTAGAAAATGTACCTTGGATGAATACAGAAAAAAAAATAAAGAATTTGGTTAATATAAATATAGCATATAAAATGTCATGATGTATGGCAGTGAGAAATAAGCAATAAAGGTTGATGATTAGGAAATGACCGGAGCCCTGGCCCCAGCTAAAAATGAGACTTTTGAAAACATAGCCCCGGCCCCAGGAAAATTATATAATTTAGCAGGGGTCGATAACCAGGGCTAGATTTATAATACTTTATATATTATAACTTTATACTTACATCTACTATTCATTAAATACTGACATATTTACAAATTTTTAAACTCTAATTTAATTCCAACAAGGTTGCAAGCAACCACTATTAAGTTATGAGTTACTTTAAAATGGAGGATAGGTTAAAAAGCTAGGAAACGGTTAACTGAAGACTTAAAAAGTTGTGGTTGTATTAAAATGGAAAACATGAAGATGGGTAAGAGTTGTAAGGTTTTTTAATGTACCAGAAAAAAAACTGGATTAACAAAATCTTTGTAGCATGTAGGGACAGATACAGTAAAAGGATGCAACTTATTGAATAAAAAGCCATCCAAAAATGAGTTTTGGTTTATCGTAATAGAGATGATAGCTCATTTAAGCATTGACCATGATTAGAGAAACAGCATAAATGAGGTAAGCTAAAACCTGATGATGATGAAAATGATAACCATGATGATGATGATAATGATCACGATGATGATGGTAATGATAATAATGTTTATCTATGCATATATATACAAAATATAACATTAACTTTGAATAAAAAAAATATACTTTAGAATGTATAAATGTTTATGCGGCCCCGGTCACTAACCCGACCCCGGCTATATTTTATCAAACTCGGCCCCGGTCAATTATCAAATCTTGTCGCTTAATTTTGATGATGTTTAGCATTTTGGAGAACAGAAAAAAAAAAAAAAGATCAGATGGATGCGATAAAAAGATATAATAGAAACACCTAAACCATGTATATATATATTTTTTAAATAAAAAGATTGCCTGCCCTAGCCTAATCCTCAGTCAATGTAATGGAACTCCTTGCATGATCTATCTATAAGTCAGGCAACGTAGCAGCACTCCTCACATGTTCTATCCAAGGCTCGAAATAACAAACCTTTTTGTTCCGAACAGTTTGCCCAATAAATACTCAAGTTTGGCAGACATGCCTGATAAAATCTAAAGAAATGCGATCAAACGCCATTCCTGACCACGCTTAAAATATTTTATTTTTACAACTTGACCACTTTTCAGAGTGAAAAACTTTGGCGCAAAAACAAACATTATGTAACAAAACTAAAATTTAATAGTCTAATAAAAGAATTGGTTTCTATAAGCATTGAAAAAACTAATATGTTAAAATTTTTATAAAATAAATTTAAAAGGGCTTTTAAAAGCTAAAATATTCGTTTGAAATTTATAAAAACTATCAGATAAAAAATAAAACAAATACTGAAGTATAAATTTAAACTAATAATTAATTGCAATGTTTTTATATAAATGATAAAAATCGGCTGCTTAAGTCAAAAAAATAAATTAGCTCAAAAAAATGACATATTTTATTAACGTATTAATGTGTTCAACTTCATTTTCCATTATTTATAAAAAAATAAAAAGATCAAAAAATGAAGTTTATATACAATACTGAACTTATTAATAGTTTTGGAGCAACTAAAATTATTATAAAATAAATGCACACAAACTATATTTCGAACAAAATGACTGATAGACGTCTTTTTTTACTGGACAATGTCCGATGTCCGGCGGCTATTTCGAACTCTGTCTATCTATTTGTCAGTCAATTTAGCAGCACTCCTCACATTTAGCAGCACTCCTCACAACACTCCTCACCTATTTGCAGTCAATGTATGTACACTAAATTAAAATATATATTAAAACAGAATAAACCTTTAATCAAGTTTGCGTATTATTCTTATCAATCTATTTTAATAAACATTTTTTTATTAAAAAAAAAAGAACTCACGAAGACCACGCATCACACTTCCTTCGGCATCTGATAAAGTTTTGCCATTTTCTAAAGTCACAGATTTTGCCAGTTCTTTCTAAAACAAAATATCAAATCAATATATTCTAAGTGAAGAGGGTTAACTTTAGAAGTCCAATTTTTTATAAATATACAAAAGAAAATGTACAGAGCCAAGCTAGGCTCTAACAGCTTTTGTGTAAATAAATCTAATTTTGATTTCAAGTTTTTAATTGTCTTAGATTTTATAATGCTTTGGTCTAAGCTGTTCCAATTATGAACAACTCGATTTGATAAGATAGAGTATCATCTTAAATTTTTTATTTGTCAATGAAACTTCATATTATGACCTCTTATAGTTGATGCTATTAAATGATCAGGCGGGTTAAATTATCTATTCTTATTATTTGAAAGAGAAAAATTATCTATAACAATTATTTCATTTTGCCTCAATAATTTTTTTTTGAATTCATATTTTATAATTTTTAATAAAGTTTTATAATTGTCATCACATGATCAGTTTAAATGATCGCCATTCATCTTTATTGTAATCACTATGAATGATTATGCAATGCAGGATTGTTCCAAAAAGAGAGAAAGGGAAACAACAGGACAATTTTACCTCAGACCACAATGATTTATTATAATATTCTTGATAAAAAAATCTTTACAATGAATTAAAACTAATAGGACTTAAAGAGTCACTACATTTAAACAGAGATGTGTTTTAAAAAATTAAAAGACAAGCAAAAATTTAAGCATTACATTTTTATATAATAATATTTGAAACATTTAAGTATGTTAACCAAATTATCAAAACCACATAGCTGCAATAGTGATATTGTTTACATATGTAAGTTGTTTATAATAACATAATGGTAATTTTTTCTAAATTGTTTAAAAAATTTTTTTAAATGTTATTTAAACAGATTTTAATTTTATCGCTTGATTGAAACAAAAGGAATTAAATTTTTAAATTTCAAAATTCTATTGTTGAATGAAAAAGAACTGTACTTTTTTTTTTGTGAATTGTAACAGTTCTTAATTCTGTTACAATTCTTATTAGATTAACTTTCATATTCAATTTAATTACAAATGAAACTATAAATTTATTTTTGATGCATTATGAATTGGAGTTGATTTAGAAAACAAATAACAGTGTTACCATTGTTATCACGCAATTGAGTCGAAAAGGAAAGCAAAAAATGATAAAAAATTAATTTTAACCACTTATTAGTATTACAAATAAGTAATGATTTTAGGAATTGAGATTTTTGGATTTTGGGAAGCATTTACAATTTCAGATTGCGGCTATTTAACTGCAGTTGGTCCACCTACTACATCATTAAATTTGCCTCGTGATGAACACAAAAATGCCCTTTTCCCACCTAATAAAAAACTTTACTAAATACAGAAATTGTGCAGCAAGATTGGCTTGTGTTTTCCTTAAAAAAAAATTTTTTTTATCTGCGTAGTTTTTTTATCTGCGTAGTCGGCTTGTGTTTTGCATCAAAAAAAAAATATATTTTTTTATCTGCGTAGTCGGCTTGTGTTTTGCATCAAAAAAAAATTTTTTTATCTGCGTAGTCATCTTTTGAGAGAAGGCAAATACAATTTGTCAACTTTTTGTAGAAATGGTGTCGGAAATAACTGGAGAAAACTAACAAGGTCACAAACCACGAAAACAATCAAAAAAATATTTATTATGGAAAAACTTAGTGAAAACAATAAATGGTAGAAATAGACAATGACTTGCAACAATTTTGTATTAAAACAGAAAGAAAAAAATGAGAAAAAATCCTTCATATTGTATTAAATTTTTATATCAAATTTAATGCTGCTGCTCCTGTTGCTGCCATTACTTATTTGTGCGTGATTGTAGAGAACTCATGGCAGCCAGTACCCCTGAGTTAATGGCGTAAAAGAGTCTTAGCTCTTTTTGTATAAGAAAATGCAAACAAGTGTGTAAGCAAATATCTAAATTTTGTAAACTTAAAATTACATAATGTTAAAACATATATCAAGTTTTACAGTTTTTAATTTTACTTTCAAAATATATTGCTGCAACATCTCCTAAATATTGATTTATAGCATTTATTTGCTGTTTTATAAAGTCTTTTGTTTATTAAATAGTGTTAAAAAACTTCACATTTATAAACAATAAAAATTATTTTATAAACTTTTCTCACATTGAAATTAGTTTTTATATCAATGTAAAAATTATGTCAAAGTGATAAGTCTTCAGAACTTTAAATATTTTATTCAATTCAAATGTAACTAAATATGTGTTTAATATTCCTAGAAGCTTAAACCTAAAACTCTTTGAGGTAAATTCAAAAATTACTAATACATGAATAAAAATAAATATTTGAAAGCCAGCTTGAACCTCTTTTTATGAGCTTTAAATCATTTTCACGTTTAAAAGCTTATAAAAAAAGTTTTTAAATAGCAAGAGAGATGATAGTTTTCAAGCTGCTACCCTAGAACACTTACACCACACAACTTGCCAAAAAGTTTGGCATGGGTATATAATTATAATACATTTTCCTATTCTTTATCCATTCCTTTTTGACAATTTCATTGTATATAACAATTTCTCTTTTTTGAGGATTTAAATTCATTTCAATCTTTTAAAATAATTTTTTAAAACTCTAAGGAATTTTTTAAAAATAATAAATTAAGTAAAAAAAAATCATAAAAAAAAAGAATAACTACTAAACCATAATCAAATTTAAAAAAAAAATGTATTTGTATGTTGTAAAAATTTTGAAGTTCCACAGTAAGCTAAACAAAGTGAGGTTCTCTAATATTTTTTTCTCATATTCCAAAGTCAACAAAAATAAAAAACTAGCAGTAATAATAACTATTAAAAAACATTTTTTTTTTCCTACTTTAAAGATTCACAATTCAACAATTTACCATGTTTAACAATTTACCATGTTTTCCTTTATTTTTTGTTGCAAGCGGAACATAATTTGTTGTCGAAAAAGCACAGAGGTCTTTTCCCAAGATTTAAATGCTTCTGCAGCAGCAGCAACAGCTAACTCTCGTTCTTCTGGCGTTGTTTCTGGACATTGACTGACTACTTCATTTGTGGCCTTGAATATTTTGTAAAAAATATTTTAATTTTTTTAAATAAAACTTTACTTTAATAAAAATTTAAAAGTTTTTATTTAGAAAAAAATGTTTAAACTTGAAAAAGTAATTAATATAAATAAGTAAAACCATATTATTTAAAAAAAAAAAATACTTGAAGGACACAAAAATAAATACTAAAAGCACATAAATATACCGGATTTCTAATAGGTATCCAAGTCGCACTGCTGCTTTCAATGAACTTTCCATTTATAAGAAGCTTTGTGCGTGGCTATGAATATATAACTCTAACAATTATAATAATGATTTGTACAAAAATGGCTTGAAAGTAACAACACCATTTTCAACCCAAAAAACTTTTTATTACTTAACAATTCACAATTGTTCTTTTATTAACAGGCAATTTCTTAAAAATAAATTTTATTCAGTTTTGAAAACAACCAGGCCTTGTTATAAAGCCTTACACTGCTTGCATTTCTGGTACAAAATGAAGATTTATGTACACATTCAGCAATTTTATGTTTAATTTTTACATTTATTCAGAAAATATTAGGTCGTAAAAAAAAGTATTTAACCAAAATTGTGAATTTTTTTGTTAAAGAAATAGATTGTTTAATATAATTTTTTTTAATTAAAAGACTTTCAATTTGACTTTTAAATGAAACATTTTAATTTAGTTTTAAAGGAATGTAAAATACTTTGAAAAATGCAGAATGCAAAAGTTTCAAATAATCTCATATTCAAAAAAATATTTAAAATATTTATGAATTATATAACAAAATATTTATTACAACACTTGTTTAAGAGAATTCTTTTTCCAAAAACACTAGCTTTGTTGAAAATCGTAGAATGCATAAAATTACCCAGTATTTAACAATGAATTTTTCCAGTAACGATTATTGTTTTTTTTTGTAAATGCAATGCATTTTAGTGAAGCTGCACCGAGCAGTAAATGCCTTAGGGATGAATAATGAGTTAAAAAAGTTTAGCAGAGTGAGATAAAAGTACAAAAGGACAGATGTCCAGTGGAAAATAAAGAGCCTCAAAGTAGAAAAATATTTAAAACTGATATAAGTAAAATGTAGTGAAAAATAAATAAGAATAATAAACAATAGTCAAGGAAAGTCATTAGTTGATGTGCTATTAAATTGTTATTAGTGTCAGTGGTTTGTCAGAGTCAATGAGAGTTGTAAACTGTTTTGATTTCTTGTAGCTATGTGTGTAATGTAAGTAGTCAATGTAGTAGTCAAAGAAGTAATAAAAAGTTAGACAACAATAAATCTTTACTTTTAGGAAAAGTCCAAAATTAACTTTTTTGGATTTTATTTAGTTTAACCACTTTTACTTAATTTTTTATGCCGAATTCAAATTACTTAATACTTTTAATTATTATAAAAACTTGGCCTTCTATTTAAGTTTCAATTAAAGTAATTATTTTGATAAAACAACCAACTGTTAAATGAAATGAAATCATTATTATTATCAAAGTAGATTCTGTGGTAAATATTTTTCTTTACATTTAATCATTAAAATACGTATTTATTATGTGTAGTTGCAAAAACAACAAAAAATTTGGCTTTATACACAAGACTACACCATATAAGGAACAATTTGTAACAATTACTAGCGAAAACACGAAATAGCTTATTTGCAGCCGTGGCACAATGATTTGAGTTCTTTCTCAGAATCAATAGGTCTCTTTTTTTGCTCTGACCAAATAAGTGACACTTGTAAGGAAGGAGGTGTAAACTTTAAGTGCCATGCTGATGCTTAAGCTTTTTCCAAACTCTTAAAACTTTATTATTTTATATTGAAGAAATTTTGCAAAACTATATTTGCAAGAATGATACAATTATCGAAGATCTTTAATGCATATATACCAACTGCTAAGTTGGTATATATGCATTAAAACTTAACATAACTGCAACTACTAAGCAGTTAATCTTATTTAGTGAAAATTTCCAAAAGATTATTTATTGCTGACTTTGTTAAAGACAAGTACAAAAACAACCCTGAATAGAGGCAACTTTATTCAGGGTTGTTTGATAAAGTTTGTGAACTAATGGGAAATTTCTAAAGAAGTTTATTAATTTTGATTTATTTTTAAATTAATAGCAATGTTAATGGTTATCTTCCTTTAATTTGTAAAGACTCCAATAGTCACATGTTAGGCTTGGGCATTTACATTTGTAAGAATTTACTTACTTACTTTGTCAGGAAACTAGGTTTGAATCCACAGACTATTCTTTTATATGTTTTCGTTTAGCACCACTTCACTCTATCGCCTTTCTCTTTGTTCTATATTGCTCTCCTTCATCTTAAGACTGCACTCTTCTTGATGTTATTTCTGATCATATTGACCAAGCTCTTCTCTTTATCCATCAGCCAATATTGTTGTTGTCAGTGACTTTAATGCCCATCACACTAAATGGCTTGACACTAGTGTCAGTGACTGTGCAGGCATTAAAGCCCACAACTTCTGCCTTTCTCAAGCTCTAACACAAATAGTCAACTTTTCAACTCGTTTTCCAGACAACCTCAATCATTTACCTTCTATACTCAACTTATATCTTGTTTCTGATCCTAGTCAGTGCTCAATTTCTCCATGTTCACCCTTAGGTGCCTCTGATCACAGTTTGATCTCTTTAAAACTATTATCTCATTCTTCTTCATCGTCAGAACCCCCCTATCATTGTACCTCTTACAACTACCTTAAAGCTGACAGGGACTCTTTCCATGATTTTCTTCTTGATGGCCCTTGAATAGAAATTTTTCCTCTTCCTGTTGACAAATATCCTTCTTACATAACTTTGTGGATTCAGACTGGCGTGGAATCTTTTATTCTCTCTCAACGATTCCAGGTCAAGCCTCACTCTTCTCCATGATTTTCCTCACATTATGCTGCTGCAATTGCCAATTGAAATTGTTACTTCCATATCTATCAGCAAAACAATTCTCCAGAAAACAGATATCTCTTTATTACTGCTAGAAACCATTGTAAAAAGGTTTTGTCTAACGCCAAAGCCCGCTATTTTCAGGTCATGAAATCTCATACTTCATCACAAATATTAGGCTCTCATGATGTCTGGAGAATCTTTAATAGTATCAATACTAAAGGCAAATCTGTAATTCCACTTCTTTTGTATGGTTCAGACTTTTTCACCTCACCTAAAGAAAAAACTGAATTGTTTACTCAGGACTTTTCATCAATATCATCTCTTGATTCCACTAGTTGCGTTCTACATGATTTAGCAATCAAACAGGTTGATCTATTGCTTGACATTCGTATTCGTACAAATATTCTGGAGAGCAATCTGATTCGTCTAACTTCTGTCCCATTAGTCTTCTTCCTATCATAAGCAAGGTTTTTGAATCTTTAATTAACAAACACTTAATCTCTCATCTTGAATCTAACAACTTACTTTGTGATCAATAGGGATTTTGATCTTCTCGTTCTACAGCTGATTTGCTAACAGTAACAACCTATAGGTTTTATCGTGCATTAGATAAAGGTGGAGAAGTTAAGGCCATGGCTCTAGACATTTCTAAAGCTTTTGATAAAATTTGGCATGCTGTTCTTCTCCATAAGCTTTCTTCTTATGGTATATCTGGAAGCATCTTTAAGATTATTGAATCCTTTCCAATCGCAGTATAAAAGTTGTCCTCAATGGACAGCACTCTTCTTTTTATACTGTATTATAACCTCAGGGGTTCCTCAAGATTCAATCCTTGGCCCTATAATTTCTTTAATTTACATTAACAATCTTCCAGATATTCTCACATCTAAGGTGGCATTGTTCGCTGATGATACTACCATTTATTCTTGTCATGATAAGAAGCCAACACTCTCTGATTGCCAACACTCTCTGAAAGGATCTCACTTCTTCTACAGCATGGGGCTCACAGTGACTGGTGATCTTTAATTCAGATAAAACTCAATTTTTTTCAGCCAATCGTTATCGCAATAATTTAGACCTTCCTATATTTATGAACGGTGATGTACTCGATGAGTCATCTACCTTTCATCTTCTAGGATTAACTCTTACTTCCAATTTTTTTTGGAAACCATATATCAAATCTGTTACATCAATTTATCGAGCTCGACACTTTTTAACTCTGGATTCTACATAGATCATCCTAGTCATATTTTAAAAATCCGGAAAATTGTTTGAATAAAATATCCGGAAAAAATCCAGAATTTGTTTTTCCTTATTTTCTTTTTAATTTTGCTTTTAGCAAAGCTTTTTCTATTTTTTTTTTTTGACACTTTTTCATTATTTTAATATGAGTGATGAGTGAAAAAGCTTTAAAAAACCAATATATTACAAAAAGATATACCTCAACTTGCATGTATTGAAAATGTTTTAGATATCCGGAAAAACTAAAAGTTCAAAAAATATATCCGGAATTCCGGAAATATCCGGAACAAGATAATTCCTGATTCTATTCTCTATCTCTATAAATCTCAAATCCAACCTTGTATAAAATACTGCTGCCATATCTGGGGCGGATCTTCTAATGATGCCCTTTCTCTTTTAGACAAGGTGCAAAAACGCATTGTAAACATAGTTGCTCTTGCTCTTGCAGCCAAACTTCAACCATTATCACATCGTCGCAATGTTGCTTCTCTTTCTTGTTTCTACAAATACTATAATCAGCACTGCTCTAAAGAGCTAGTGTCTCTTGTGCCATCTACTAAAATTCATTCTCGAGTTACTCGCCATTCAATTAAGTCTCATCCTTTTTCTGTGACTGTTTCTAAGTACTCCAAAAACTCTTATTCGCCTATTTTTTTTTTCAAAGATCAGTTCTTTGGAATACGCTTCCTTCATCTTGCTTTCCTAATTTATACAATTTGCAATCTTTTAAGTTGTCTCTCAAATGTTATCTTGCTCTAGAATCTTCATCTTTTCTCTTCCAGTAACTTTCAACTCTTATTAGTGGTTGCTTGCAGCCTTGTTGGAAGTGAAGATGTTTAAAAAAAAAAAGTATTTTCTAACAAAGTAAATCAAAACAAATTTACACTCATTAAGACTTATTTTTGTTTAAACGCATCTTTAAATCATTTTAATTCAAAGTTACCTAATCAAAATTTAAATTGCATAAATTTTAACATAAAGTTGCATAACTTTACACACAAAGAATACGCTGCAAAGATTTCTAGTTTTTTTTTTTTTTTTTAAATATTTAAAATTGAAGTAGAAGGTCAACAACAAAAAAAAAAGCAAAAATTAAATTGTTTGTTGAAATTTCGTTAAAAAATTATTTAAG